AAAAAGGATTTGAGACACAGAAATACTGGAAATGAATATTTTATATAGGGCTATGTAAATGTATCCAATTACTTTTGAACCTTTAGGAAAGAGAGAGCTAATTATGGAAGACTTTTTTTTATGTCTTAGCTTTTCCTTCCTCTAGGGTGCAAATAACACAAATTTAAAACTGATGATGTGCACTTCAGGGTTATAGTTGTAATTTATGAAGAAGAAATCAGATCATTCAACTATGTCAGATATAAAACACTACTACATCCTTTATTTAAACTGAAAGTTGTGTACCTCTTGAACCTATTAGTCTTCCAGCTCAAAACTTTAAAATTATATTGACTTGTTTGAAATTTCAGTCTGTAAAATTGTAAATCAAGTATATTCATTATTAAAGGTGAAATTTTACATCAGCCATCATAAAGATGTGGCTTTTGAACATTTCAAGTTAGTTACAATTACTGTAAGTAAATAAGTGTTTGTAACTTACATTTGGTGATGTAGTTCCAAGCTTCTGTGGTAAAAGAAAAGGAATAACAATTGAATTATTTGTTGTTTTAGTTGTGTCTAAACTTTCACAATTGTGCCATGGCCATGAAAACTTGTGTTGTATTTTTTTTTTTTTTTTATTGAAACTTAACATAAAATTACCAAAATATTCTAATTCCCCTAGAAATTTGGTGTGTAAGGCATACAATTTGCAAGGTTTTGGTTATCAATTTTCAATTTATACAAGTGTAGAATTTTTTTTTAGGTACGTAAAGATGTAGAAATTGAAGGTATCTGAATACATTTAGGTAAATGTAACTTCTGCATCTGCTAAGGGACATAATTAAACTATCCAAATAAAAGGTCTGCAAATTGTTTCATCCCTTTCATTGAGTAAATTCTACCAGTTAGTTTTATCAGTGTGCTGGGAATGAGAGACATGTTGATGAAGTCATCCAGATTAACAATGGCAGCCTCTTAAATGAGGGGAACATAATGTGCTAATGAGAAATGAGATACTGGAGGAAATATATTCATAGAGGAGAGTAGTTTCTGATTTAAACTGAATTATTGGAATGTAAATCTAACGAGAGAAATAGCAGAAGGATGTACAATACAAGAATACTTTAAAGTCTAACATTTGAACTAAGAAAGAAATGACTTGAAATCTGTGTTCCCTTGTGTGCTATTACCGCTGCACACTCACCACGTACTACCACGAACCTGTGGAAAGAGAGAGCGAGGAAAGGTCAAGGGCATTCATCATTACCCCTATCATCTGGGAATGCATTCCAGGCATCGGCGATTTTTAACACGAGAGCTGATGACCTGCAATAAAAAGCTGGAGCCACAGATGCTCCAGGCATCCAGGCTATTCCACAGACATAAGTTCTTATGTTTCGAAAGACAACAAAGTTTAGGTAGAGAGAAAGGTTTTAGGTGTAATCCCTTCTATGGCGTTGGTGAATGACATAAAAATGATTGGAAAAATGACTACGCGCTTCAGTCCACAGCATTCTGCACTAAAAGATGGATTTCACAGGGGCGACAAAGCAGAAACGACATGCTTCATGTTGGAAAACAAACACTGGTGATATTCACAGATCTCAGCTTCCTCATGTGCCATGCCAAGCTTAGGAGTGGAAATAAGTTTATATTTAAGATATTTTTTTATGTCTCCCACATCCAATCTGTTATGGAGACTTTTTTCACAGCCTGGTAGCTATCAGTTCGATTCCACTTGTGAATTGAGATCGCCTCATTCAGCCATTAAACTAAATAACTCCTAATAAGAAAGAAGGCTTCTTTAGTTATTTTTTATTCGCTCAATCACTGCTTTTAAATTTAAACCTGGAGCCAGCACACTGTTGTTGTGTCCATGCATACATTTAGGCTTCTGTAGTTTCTTTTACTGTGTCATTAGTTGGCCGACTGCTGTGTCATTACAGAGTGAAGGCATGGGTGGAAAAAGCAGAACAAGGCTCGGCAATCTTTCTCTCCCTCTCTAAGATCCGCCTCTGCATGTCTCCTTCTGTCTGTCTGTCCGTCTAACTGTGTCTGCTAATTTTGGCCCACACTTGTGCATGCCAAGAGAGATTTACTCCACATTACAAAATGACGCGCAGTCATCCTCTTCAAAGCATGCTTTCTTTGTTAAAACTGAGCAACAGCTTCAGATCTTTTATAAAAAAAATTAGATTTCAATTATGTTTTTGTTCAATTCATATTTTTAAGAAGTCAAAGGTCTTTCTTAAATTTGATACACTGAATTGTTATTCCTTAATCCACAGATTTATTTAATTTTTTGGAAAACAAACATTTTCTAAAGGAATTTAGTAAATATTAGCTTTTCTGTACATTCGTGTGTGTGTAGATAGTGGTCATTTCTATGTATTATTTTCTTAATTAAAGATCCCAACCCAACAACATGGAATATTACTGTGCTTCAAAGTGCCTTCCAAGAGTTTTACGATCCTTTGAACTTTTTCACACATTAATCAGAGAAGCAGCAGAGAGGCCCATGGCGACACTGGAGGAGTCCCAGAGTTCCACAGCTCAGGTGGAAGAAACTCTCAACAGGACAACTGTAGCGCGCTCCACAAATCTGAGCCTTAAGATAATTATTGTTTAGATTAAGATAATTATGGCAAAAAACCTGTTAGAGTATGTAGAAGACTTGAGACAGGGGAAGAAGTTCACCTTTCTTCAGGAAAACGACCCTAAACATACAACCACATACATAAGGAATGACTTAGATCAAGTTATATTAATTGGCTAGAAGGACCCAGTCAAAGTCCAGGCCTAAATCCAATGACGGAACTGAGGCAAGATTTGAAAACTGCTGTCAACATCCAATATGTCGGGGCACATGTGCAAAATTGGTAAAAGAAAATCCAAAAAGGTCTGCAGCTGTCATTCCATTAAAAGGTCATTACTATAAACCACTTCCATTTTGATAATTATGTATCACTATGTTGGTTTAGCTAGCACATAAAATCCCAATAAGTGCTTTGAAATGTCTTATAATGTCACAAAAGTAAAACATGAAAATAATACTTCCGCAAGATACTGTTGTCTTTACTTTCAGCCATCAACTCTGCTTCAAAAACATTCATATTAGATGCAACTGTAGCTTTAAGACATAAAGTTTGAATATGCTTCAAGAAAGAAATTTGATTTTCAAAGAAAATTGTGTTTATTTGAATTTAAGGACATAAGTCACCTAAAATGTCCTGGGGAAATAATGAAATCGGTGGGAAAAACAAACTGAAGACGTTGGATATGATAGAAAAACACTGTCAGCGTGAGATGAAAACGTGCTGTTTCTGATGGATGCTGCTGTAAAAGAACACATTACCTCGGAAGAAAGAAATCATAAAAGCATATGCAGAATTTTTATGAGAATAATAAACAAGAACCTGACACAGCAAAGCTTTTCAGAAGAAATGGAGGACGGTAACAGACTTGCAGCTGTGGGAGGCTACAGCATCATTCTGGAAGTACTTACAGCACACAGGCTGTCGATTGCTTGAGTGGTTGAGTTTGCATTTTAAAGAGTATCTAGGAATTAAAAACAAACACAAAGAAAGCCAGATTGGATTTAAAAAATTAAAAAAAAAGATTTGCTAAGTGTATACACTTAGTCCTTAATTATTATCTTAATATTGTCAAAATGCGTTGTCGTCCGCTTGCATGTCAAAACATTACCACAAGTACTAATGTTTTTTTGTCAACCATCTTGTTCTTATGGAAGGTGAAAGCTTAAGTAAAACCTTTTACTATGGAGCTATGCAGATCTGTGTTCTGTTTTGGGTTGGTTTCAATCCCCATTAAGTGTGCAAAGGCATCGCTGTCGCCAATCTGCTCGGAGAGAAGGGGGGGCCGTCGACAAGTTGCAGCGGGGCCTTCAACTCTGATGGCTGAACACGATCCACGGGAACATGTTTGCACACATCTGCTCCTGTGAGACTGAGGGAAGCGAACAAAAACGGCGTTCCCATAGAAACAAAAAGAAAGTTCCCCCCTCTCCCAAATCTTCCCTGAGAGGTGTGCTGCTCTGGTGTGTGTCAGACCAATGTGGACCGGGTGGTAAAGCGAGCCTTCCGGAACCCAGAGAGGACCCCCTACCGACGCTGCCACCTCTTCCTGCATTCAGGAGAACAGACACCGGTTGTTCTGCTCCTCTTTTATCCTCCCATGTTGTATAAGGAGACCACCAGAGTGCGGGGCCAGACTTATTTCACGTCCAGCCTGAGTCATCCACTGCTCTGTTCATGGAATCAAAGCAGAGCTGCAGAGCATTTCCCCCCCTGAGGTGGTCAGACAGGAAATGCAGTCACCTTACAGCATGTCTGATAACGTGACTCCACACATGGAGCCGTTTCTTTACCATTTCCGCCACATGAAAATCCACAGCAGCTGGGCAGAAAATTGGTCCGATATTACTAATACCCAGGTAGCAGGTGTGTGTTTTGTTGCGTTTGTATGTGCATATGTCTGTGTGTGTGTGTGAGTGTGTGTGTGTGTGTGTCCCTCTTAACAGGGGGGTGCCGGACTGGGGAGGCAGAAAAGCAGTAATTATGGCCTCCCATGTTCAGCAGAAACATCAGAGGGAAGTAATTTGTTGCTCTATATTTAATCAGTGGAGATAACGAGAGCGAGTGCGGCTGTCTGGGCCGATGGGCAGGCGCACAAGCAGGAACACCATTTCCTCCCAAAGCCATTAGTCTTTAATGTAGCCAGCCGCACTGTCATAGTTTCATACTTTCCTGCTCAAATAATCATTATCTCCTTTTCCATCTCCAATTGACTCAAGTGTACGCTTTCTTTTCCTCACCTTTGTTCATTTTTTGCTGTTTACCTCTCAGCTCTCGCTCCTCTCGGCTCCTGTTTCTTGACACAATGAAAGAAGCGTTTTCTCCCCTCAGCCACCCGAAGCACCTCCTTGTTTACCCGTTCCCTCATTACCCTCACCTCTCTCTTATGGGCTGCCCGTCTCTCCGTGCCTCCGTCTCTCACAGGGTGCAGGTGGAGTTCTATGTGAACGAGAACACTTTCAAGGAGCGTCTGAAGCTCTTCTTCATCAAAAACCAAAGATCCAGTAAGTCCTCGAATTTTGGAGCTCACTTCCAGCCATCTGGAAAGGAAATGTGAATATTGCTGTTTTTGCCGTCTTTGTTTCCACCCAGTTGTCTCCCACTTTTGGTGGAAAAGATGGGTTTCATCTTTGACCGTCGAGCTCTGTGGCTCTTGCTCTGTATTTCATCATGTTTCCTCAACTTGTCCTCTCTTTGAAACGGTCTCATCTGTATCTCTGGTTGTTAAGATTAAACATGCTTCATTCAGTCTTTTTTTCATTTTAATTTTTTTTAACTTTTTCCTGTTAGCCGTTTATACTCCACACTTATGGGCACTCAGAGTAGAAGGTAAACGCTTTAGCACAGATTCATCTTTTTATTCCCACACCAAGAACCTCATATTATGAATGTTTGACTGAAGATAATGACACATTTAGGCAAACAGTTATTTGCTTGTTGTGATTTTCTGATTGACAAACATCAACACACATTATGACTGAAATAAGTCATAAATAATGACTTATTTTTATAAATAAAAAAATAAGACATTTCCTATTTGTTTTTTTTAATTAGTAAATAAATGTAATCATTTTTAAAATGTTGTTTCTGCAATTTTCAGGGTGAAATTATGACTTAAAAGCATAACAAATTCACTTTAAGCCTTTTTATGCTTGTTTACTGGGAGTGCCAATATGTTTTGAAACGGTATGAACAGTAACTCATAGAATACGTTAATGTGTCTTTGTGTTTTTTGTGATTTAAAACATTCACTGTCTATTTCCTTTCGATTTGCATTACAGGTCTGCGAGTGCGAATGTTTAACTTTGCACTGAAGGTGCTGAGCTGCCTCCTCTACATTGTCAGAGTCCTGCTTGACAACCCACAAGAGGACAAGCAGGACTGGTGAGAGAACCGGCGATAACACGGGGGGATTAATGAGGCGAAACTCTGTGACTTTAAGGGCCTGATAACAGTCACAGGAACACCAGGTTTATATAAATGAGACGAGGGTGTGTGTCAAGCATCCTGCTAAAAGGATTCCATGTGAGACTTGCAGGAGAAAAAAAAAAGGGATTTTGAAGGTTTTGCTTAAACTTTGTAGATGTGGCAGAGAAAAATAATTATATTTGCATGATTTTTTTCCTTCTTCTTCATTGTTTTACCCCCTGCAGTGCCAACGGAGCCAACTGCACCAAGCAGAACACATCATCCCGTCCCTGGAGTGAGTTTGACTGGTAAGCATGCAAACCGCTGCGGCTATAATGAGGACCGATAGCCTCTACCTGCGGACACTGAGAACATAACCACACATCCCGGAGGACGAAAAACCCACGACCCCCGGCTCACCGGACGGAAACGCTGCATAACATAATCAATGCAGCTTCACAGAACCGGCGCAATCTGCAGTATTGATATTAAACAGGACCTCATTCATTTGTTACAATCCAGCTGTATTGAGTAGCTGTCGGCATAATATGTACGTAGTGGCTGCGCAGGCTAATCAACAACGATCTAGTGGAGATAAAGTATGTAATATACTAGAGCAGAGACAGAAGAGCTCTGGATGGTGTGCACAGACCTGAGGCTGTCTCATATTTCCTGTTCAGGGGACCTATTGATCTAATTGATGGCTAATGACACTGGCTTAGCTCTGGCTCCAAATGAATAAGGAGCCTGACATAGTGAGTTCAGGCCGCCTCCGTTTGCAGGCTGCATCGCATTCATGGCAAGCAGCCTACCCTACGCTCCAGCGCGCCTTGGAGGAAAAAGAAACACCCTTTCCATCACTGTAAGAATGTAAATGTGAATCTGCAAAAATGAATTTGCTTCTTCCATACCAGCCCTCTGTGTTTCAGCTGTAAACACCATAATTAACACAGCAACTTGAGTTGTGTTTGTAGACACAGTCGCAGTGTTTGGGGGAAAGAGAGTTGCCTGCTTTTGCATTTTAAAGCTATTTATAAAAACATTGTATTTACTCGACTAATCTCTGTCCTCCAATCCTCTTTTCTCTCCGTTGTCTCTATAGGAAACTAATCATCTGGGTTGACAGACCTCTACCGCTGTGGGCGCTGCAGGTCAGATATTTCTTATCACATGCCTTGTTAAACATTTTTCAACCTACAGTCATTCACAAATGCTCACAGAGTTCAGCTGCAATATTAAAATCAAGAATGTGATAATAATAAATGACGTGGAACTTAAGTAAGGTTTTGATATGTCACAATATAGCTTAGGCCTTTTGCTGATTGTTTATTCACTTCATTGAAGGCAGGGTGGATTTGTGTCCCTTCACTTCTGTGTTTTTCATTATAAAGAAGATGGACCTTATATTTTTATTTGTCTACTGTGCTATTGAAGTACCTAAACCTAATAGAACACAATTTATATGCATAGCAATGTCTCATTGCACCAAAATACATCAAGCTGCATTGGACCTGGGCACAGCAAATACATTTATATTGATTTTAGCTGTTTTGTCTTTAAGAACTGTAAATGACTGTTAACTTGGTAAATGATTAACTTGTTTACTTTCTCTATAAATGGAGCCTTGAGAAGCTTGTGAATGATCAATAATTATTTTTTAATGCAGTATATTTGTCAGTTTTATTTTAATTTCACCAAAATCTCAAAATAAAGTTACAGAAGTCACACTTCATGAAAGCTAGGATGGTTAGCATGGCTGGCATTAGAAAATAGATTAGTCGATATACTGGTATGTATTTCCTGCCATTAGTTTCCTGTTGGCTTTACTGTGACATTTCTAAGGGATTACTAAGATATTGCAGTCCATCATGATACACAACAGATAAAATTGGACTTCTTAAGTGGATAAAATGCAGCAAATCTGCTGCATTGTTCACTTTCCTTTTTTAGCCAAAGTGCCTCCGAAGAAAATGTCCTTTCAAAAAGTGACTTATGTCATTTTGCTTCCTGTGACTTTATCTCAGTGATGCTGAAAGAAACTTCAACAGAAGTCTATTTTTTTCCCCACAAGAACAACTTCCACACAACCTGACCTGTTAACACTTAGATATTGGAGGCTCACTGATCAGAAATAAATAATCTATCAATTCTAGTTGACAGTGATTACTTGGTGTGTCCTGTATATAATCCTTCCTAAACCTGTTGCAGAGCCTTTTAGTGATAAGAAATAAGAGTGTTTATCTAAACATGACCAGAGTCACCTATCATGTGTTTTCACTTTGTGCCATGCTCATGTATGCCTACTTGTCAACATTTGTTTTGTATTTTGTTTTGAATTTATGTCATGCTATTGCAGGGTTTTCACACATAGAGATGAAATTACTGTTGTTAAAAATGTGTTTACACGAGAAGAGTGATTACACACATACACATGTAAATATTTAAAAGAAAAAGATCAGACACATAAATGTCTGTTGGTTCATTTAAAGCTATTCCCTCTGAAGCAGAACCATCAGCCCTCCCAGTGATTCCTCCTACGCTCTTCATCTCTCTGCCTCCTAATTTCTCCCTGCTCTCGTCTCTCTCTCTCTTTCCCAGTCTGCTCTGCCTCTGTGTCTGTACAACCGTCTCTTACCTCCCGTCTCTCCCTCTCTTTTTGCAGGTGCTTGTGGCTTTCATCAGCTTTTCAGAAACTATGTTGCTCGTGTATCTCAGCTATAAGGTGAGCCACTCGTGGCCCTCGATGGCCACTCTGAAACCTTGTGTGAAGTCAGAGGCTCTGATGTCCACAGGCATCGTTGGAAACATTTGGATGGATTTGATATGCATGACTGTTTCTCCTTTTTTTTTTTTTTTGTCTTCATGTTTGCTCTTCCAGTTTGAGAGGCCTTCTAGCTTACTCGTATGATTCTGTAATATATCAGAGCAGCTTTAGGGGAACCCCCTGTGTCGAAGGAGCTGGGAGGGGGGAGAATCCATCCATGAGTTGCCCTGCTTTTGATGTATTTGACACTGCAAGCCTATGAAGAGCTCACTCCACAGATTCCTCTGGAGGACGGAGGTCTTAGCATTTAAAGCTGACTGATTCCTGTGGACTCAGCCTGTGACTGTCCACCTACACTAGTCGGATTCAGGTCAGCATGCAGGCAGCAGACACATAAAAACAGCCACGGCTGACATCTTAATTGAACAGCGTGGCTTAGAGCAAACTGAGTAATGCTGCTTCGCCTCGTAAACCTACACAGGGGAGTTTTATAACCTGTGTACATCCTGATGTGTTTTATGGTGGAGAAACTTCCCCCTCCAAGCGACATGAGTTAACTCCGAAAGTTGCAGCAACAGTGAAGATTCCTGACCTCTCTGTGTGTGGTTTCTGTTTCCAGGGAAACGTTTGGGAGCAAGTCCTACGTGTCCCTTTCATTCTGGAGATGATCAGCACCGTTCCCTTCATGATCACTGTGAGTGGGAAATATACGCTTTATGGGAATCTCTAAGTAGGGCGTTTCGTTTTGACCCCAGCTACAGTGATGTATTGAGGATGTAAAAAGAGGCTCTTCCTCACATAATCTCTTCTCTCACCAGAGACTTCAGGAGTGTGCAATGTGATGAAAAAGGTGATAACACAGAAACTCCACTGCTCTTTTTTTTCTCCTCACAGGTGATTTTGCCCTCTTTAAGAAATCTTTTCATCCCTGTATTTCTGAACTGCTGGTTGGCCAAACATGCGTTGGAGAACATGATAGTAAGTGAATCACTGAAGTTCTTAAGCTGCATTCACTCACCATAGGAGACAATCTCATGATTTTATGTTGAACTCCTATTAATTATCTATCTCAGCTGTTCTTTTCCAGCTGTGCCACAAAACACTTCATACTTTTAAATGCAAGAATTTGTTGCATAGGTTTGGATTTAATGTAGGTTTTTCTCTGAAATTGACATGGCCAGATTTGAACATAAAATAATATTTTCAGACTCCCATCTATGTTTGGGTAAATTTACGTTATGTTGTGCCTTCTGCAAACTACACTTTAAATTATTATTTTCTAAAGGGCTACAGCTATCCATATCAAACTGTCCTTTCTGGAATAAAACCACTCTTAATGTAATATCACAACTTAAATTAGCTCAGCTTTAATTTCATTTGACATAAACACATTTGATTACTAGATCTTCACAATCAAGAAATAATAGAAGAACCTGCTTATCTTCATTCTGACAGTAAACCATGCTTATGATACTGTGACGGCTTTGTTTGTTTTTTAGTTAAATTTAATTTCAAAGAATTTTATGCTGGACACAAAAACATAAAATACTCAAAGACTGTAAAGAAAACAAAATATAGCATATCTCCAGGCACAATGATAGAATAGAATGGAATTTAATTGAACCAGTTTTTTCCCCAATAAAATAATTGGAAACTGGTCTTTGTATTTAAAAAAAAAACAAAAACAAACAGACTTTGTAAGGGAGTGAAATCTTTATTTTACTCTTTCTGGATGAATTGTCAGCGTTTTTTTTGTTTGTTTTTTTTAACTGGTTGGTTTTCTGCTTTTGAACCAGGTTGTCATTGCTAAACTACTAGCAATGACAAGAATTCATTATTAAAATTCCCAATTTCATATGATATCCATATCCATGATGAGTGTACTGTATATACACATCTGCCATAACTACATATCTCAATTTAGTTTCTCATCTTTTTGTTTTATTGGTATGCACTTCTTCTTTCCATCAATAATCCATCCATGCTGCATCACATATTCCAAGGGTTACAGTTTCTCATCTCATTTTAATATTCCGTACATTTTTACACATTCTCTCCATCAGCTTGTGCCGTCTGTTTTCGAAATAAATATCCTTCTCTGCGTCCTCCTGCAGAATGATCTCCACAGGGCGATCCAGCGGACACACTCGGCCATGTTTAATCAGGTCGTGATTCTGATCAGCACACTCGTCTGTCTCATGTTTACATGGTGAGTACCACAACTTAACAAGGAGGGAGTGGCAACAGGTAAAGAAAAGCAAAGCTCGAAGTTGAGATGGAATGGAGAGGAGAGAAAAAAGATGAGACGAGGCAGCAATAGAAGGAAAAAAGGAAGACTTCTAGAGGGATTGGAAATTGCCGCTATCGGAGCTGAGAGAGAATGGCAGAAAGAAGAGAGGTAATTGGTTATTGCCCGAGTGAGAAGGTGCTCTTAAATGACAGCAGGTGATGGCTTCATTGAAGTGGAGGATGTGTCAGCTTGCCTCACACGTGGGCCAAAAGGCACAAGCAATTCAAGGAGATCCTATGCGCACAGCTTGAGTTAAGCTCTCTGACCACTTTGAGTTTGACATTTTCCCAGTTGACTCACATATCTGCTGAATATTACGATAACAGCCACAAAACATCTCCGTGCAGAAATTTCCAACAAAGGCGTTCAGGCATGCAGTCGCCCCCGTCTTTGCACATAAAAAGTCACAGATATTTGCACAGGTGTGAAAAACATTTCCGCCTGAATAATGGCTCCCATGAGCGCCTGTGCCTCTCGCAGCATGGGAAGTGTCTTTGATGCTCACTTTGCCGTTCTTTCCGTCTCTGTCTTTTCCCACCCTGCGAACCTGCATTAGCATCTGCGGCATCCAGCACCTGGAGCGAGCTGGAAACAACCTGACCCTCTTTGACTCGCTCTACTTCTGCGTGGTCACGTTCTCCACGGTGGGCTTTGGAGACGTCACGCCGCAGATATGGCCCTCGCAGCTTCTGGTGGTCATCATGATCTTCGTGGCACTCATCGTGCTTCCCATCCAGGTGACAAAACAGTGATCATATGTACAGTGTTTTGCATATGCATTTATACATTAGAACCACAGCATATGTTACAGGGTAGCGGTCATATCACTGATAGCAACACTTTTTATTTTAGTTTGATGTACCAGCACACTTCTGACCTTTTAGTGCTTTTGTGGTTTTTCCACTAAAATATTTGTGAAAACCTCAGGACAAAATTCCAACAGTGTTTCCAGGTGTCTGAAAATACATACAATACATGTGTGCATGTTTTCCTGCATAAACACTCTCTTTCTTTTTAGAGGGTTATGTGTGATGGTTACTGGGAATATCCAGGCAATTAAATTCAAGACAATCTCGGAAGAAAATCTGTTATGGTGCATTCACTTCAAATGCCTTCTGAGCATCTAGCGCAGCGCAATTTGAACTGTTAAGAGCATTTTGAGCGTTTGGACTCATCCAACGCTGCACAAAAACATAACACATGAACACATCCATCAAAGAACGCTAAATGGTGAAGCAAGGGGCATGTATGACCTATGGACGTATTTAAGTATTTTAAGTATTTCAATTGAGGATCTGTTGCATGACTTGCTATTATGTGGGAAAAATTGATTTCTTGTTGATTTATTGTACAGCATCCCAATATAAAGTTGTGATTTAACTGTGTAAATGTTGAAGATCAATTTTTTTTATGATGTTACATAAAAGAATATAGGCATTATTGAAGTCATGTTAACAAAAGCAATGTTTGCTTCCCTGAGGCAAGAATTCATTTTACTCTAATTTGTTTTATCAAACTGTGAAAGCTTAAGATAGAATTGTATTTCAGATATAATTCACACGTTTTTTCTGGCTAAACCAAGTACAGGCATATTTAATGCTCCTGGAGGAAAATATCACAAAGATTAATTTAGCAGTCACTTTGTCACTCTCAAAAGATTATTAGTTTTTTTAATATGCTCAAGAACATTAAAGTTCCTCCCCTTATCTCTAATAATCTTGTATCTCCCCTTCACACAATAATTGGATGACTCACAGCTTCCTACGTAGATTTACGACACTATTTTTATTCAGAGAGCAACAAGAGAGTCTTCCACACTCACTCGATTTCCTAAATACCATCCCTGTCTCTGAGCTGCTCCATAAAAGGAAAATTTATGAAGGAGACTCAGAAAAGCTGTTTACACACACACGGGGGCCGATAAAACACCTCGACAAATGCATTGGTTTGATGGTTTCCCAGCGGTTGTTCATCAGATTTGTGAAAACCAGAGATGGAAGCTGTGCCTGTATTTCTCCCAGTGCATGCAAAGGTGTTAATGGGATTCATTCCCACTGAGCAGATGTTTTCATATGTCTTATCTTCAGTCAGAGCAGCTCTCTCTGGATTGAGACCCTGTTTAGACACACGACTAATAAGTTATTGGATAATGATGAGCTTTGTTGGTACACTGGACTGTTTTGTTTTTTTCTGTCTTACTTTAATTTGCAATCACCTAAAACCAATTTTATCTCCTGACAGATTTAATAATCATTCAACTCAAAAAAAAATTTATTTTCAGCAAAAATGAGCAATTTTGTCTACCCACAGCAATACTTAAATCGACTTTCCCTGTTGAAATAACTCTCTTTACAAGTTGTGTGAGTTTGGATTTTAATTTCAAATATATACTGTCATATTAAAATCAGTCTTGCCTGTAAAACCATTCATATCAACTAATGCAACCCAAATGATGGTTCATTTTTGTGTTATTATTAATTTTATTTGAAGATTCAGGACTCCACAAAGATTGATTTTCCCTCACAAATTTCTTACACTTTTTCATTTTTTATTAAATCAAGCAAACCCATATAAAGTAAACTTTTTTCATTTTATTAAAGTAAAAACAAATCTAAATCCAGACACATTATGAAAATTTGTTTATACCACAAGCTTGTGAAACCCTGAATAAATTGACTAACCATATTTTTTTGGAAGGTTGGCATGTTTATAGCCAGACTCAAGAAATTACTTCAATAAAACTTACATAAAGTAGGCAAAAAATTATCTGAACAAAAAACAATTGTCTATTAACTGGCTGTTAATTATACGTCTGAGTTCGAACTATGTGAGGCTTTTACTTTTACATATCTGTGATAAATGTGGAAACAAGTAGCCAGGATGCAATAATACAATAAAAAAATAAAAAAAAACATTAAAAAATAAATCTAAACTTGCTAACTAAAATACAAAGGATTGTGACAATATTGAGACTAGAGCTGCTCAACATGTTGAACAGAAATCATACTGGCAGTATCAATATTTACTGCCAATATGACTGCTGTTGTTTGCAATATTACATTTAAAGTGTCAATAACTTTCTGCATACAGGTAATATATTTGGCCAGATGAATGTACTCCAACAGGTGTTTGACTTAAAAGCCTGAATTATTTGCCATTTATGATTCATATTTAAATGCTTCTAAATTACAGTACATTTATGAGCACAGTACTTCCCAATGCGTTAGAAGACTGTGTAATAATGTGACCTTGACTGTCAATTTTTCATTTCAAGTAATAAATTATCTAAAATGTAGTTAAATGTACTTGTGTTGATTTATTAAATCTTACAACTGCTTGCCATACATCTTTAACTGGGAGTGAATCCCACGCTAACGTGATCAAAAGCTCTCTGTATTCCAGCTGGACCAGGGTGATTGCACAAAGCCCTCATTACAACAAAAAAACTTCAGCTTCAGAACATGTTGCCAAACTTGGGTGAATAAATTTATGCAAAACGTTTCTTTAACTTTGATATCTCATGCTCTCCACTTCCCCTCCACATCTTTCATCCTCAAATACCCTGTGACATTTAGAAACTGGCCCCTGCTGGCCCCCATCCTGTGTGTGTGGTTGGGGGTGTTTGTGACTGGGTGTGCACCTCTGTCTGACCCTGACCATTGTCTGGGCTACAAACAGACACAGGTTTAGATTTACTGAGTTTTCTTTTTACTTCTGTTATCTTGGTTTTCTTGACAAATTGCCAGAGTTTTAAAGGTCAGGCCTCCAAGATTGTGATTCTGAGCAAAAATGAGCAGAAAGGTGAAATGTTCTTTATTACAACTCAGTTTCGTCACTTGAAACAAATCTTGATATTTTCCGTGTGAACCTGGTTACATCATTAATTTTAAAATGGCTGCATAAGTTGGGGCAAAATAAACTTATTTATTTATCCTAATGATGTACACTATACACACCCCTCATGAAACATCTGGTTTTTGTGATTTGAAAACTAAAACTGATAAATTATCTAAACTTTTTAAACGTAATCCACCTAAAGTATGACAATATACTGCAAAAGTCTACAACATAACAAATAGCTATGTCTGGAAAATAAAATAAACTAAAAGATACAATAATCTTGTTGCATTAAACTAATACTTTGTTGAAGCATCTTTTGGTTCAATTTCAGCATTCAGTCTTCTTCGGTTGGAGTTTATCAGCATCTCACAGTTTGACTGGACAATAAGTCAGCACTCTGCTTTGCGAAAGTTCACCACATCCCACCGCCATCTTCAGGTTACTTTACATATTTACTGTAAGATTCAAACTCCGGCTTTGGTGTCTAAAACTTTAATCATTCTGCTAAAATACAGCCATCATTCTGTTGTTTTTGAATGGATGCTTGGTCTCACTGTTGTGTTGAGAAGTAAAATCCATCATTATCTACAGTTTTTTCTTGGCAAACACCTGAAGGTTTTTCATCAAAATCGATTGGTGACTGAAAATGTGAACATATTTATTCACCTCAACAAAAACCCTGTAGTTTATCTGAGATGAAGCAAATCGTGACAATGCTATCACTCTGTTTTTGTGGGTAGGTGTTGTTTTGATAATTAATGTTGTTTGTCTGTATAACATACCTTTGTGAATTGTCAGTTTTATCGGACCGTGACTCATTCTCCCTCTAGTTAGATAAGAATAAACAAACAGAACTTGGCAGACATTTCTGCAGCTCTTTCATCATTGATGATGACCTTTAGGCAGCCTTCCTGAACTCTGTCCTTATTGACTTTTCATTCATTTTTTTCAATGCAGTGACTGTCAGTTTCTTAAATTATTGATAACTGCCTTTTCTCTGACATGAAACACATAAAACACACTGCAGAGTTATGAACTCAACACTGCTGAACGCTGAACATAAATCTGAACTTAAATGATAAAACGCTGTAAATTAAGGGTGTGGAAACCTTTCCGACCACTTGTTTACCCCACCACATTTTTCTCTTCTTTTCTGTTTTTTTTTTAACAAATTGTCCAACTGGTAAATATGTTTGTTTTTATTGACCCAAGTTGGTTTACATTTTCTATCCCCAAAATGTGGAGTTTTAAGTGGGGTGTGTACATTTGATAGAGCCATTGCATATATGGCTAACAATGTTTTATTTTATCTGAAGCACAATGAAAACTTGGAAGAAAAGAAACAGTTAATTACAAAGATATAAGATCCAATATTTTTATTATTTGTCATTCATTGCAACGATTGTTGCTCCAACAGAGGATTCACATCAGAGCAATCACCAGGGCTTCTGCCGACTCTGAGTCTGTGACCTTCACATTGAGTAGATTTGTGTGTGTCTGTGTGTGTGTGTGTGTGTCGGGTGTGTGTGTGTGTGTGTGTGTGTGTGTGTGTGTGTGTGTGTGTGTGTGTGTGTGTGTGTGTGTGTGTGTGTGTGTGTGTGTTTGTAAGACAACAAACTGCAGTGTGTAGAAAACTCATCATTCCTTCAGCACTTAATTTTCTCAGATTTAATACTTTCTACCATCAGTCGCTCCTCCTGTTGCACCAGATAACATCTGTGCTGTTTCGTCTCCGCCTCACTAATTTTTCCATTACGTGTTTCTCCTTGTTAATGTGCACTATCACATTCCACTCACCCACACTCCTGAAATCTCCACTTATCTTAATTTGCCCCTAAACACTTTCCCTGATCAAATGGAAACACCACACACTAGGCATCGTTTTTCTTTTCATATACCACCTGGGTCTTTGCTGTATTCCAGCTAACCTAATCCGCTTTCAATCTGTTGAATGTGATAAATGTCGTCCTCAATGCAGTTCGAGCAGCTGGCCTTTCTGTGGATGGAGCGGCAGAAATCCGGAGGCAACTACAGCCGCTACAGGGCGCAGACGGAGAAACACGTGGTGCTGTGTGTCAGCTGCCTCAAGATCGACCTCCTCATGGACTTCCTCAACGAGTTCTTCGCTCACCCTCGGCTTCAGGTCTGATTTGAAGGAGGACAAGAAGGTTTTCAGGGGTCCGTTGAATGTGTGAAAGTGTGTTTGTTGCCTATAATTAAACCTTTCCAGGAGCCAAAGCAGCAGAGGGCAAAGCAGGGGATTAATCCTGCAATAGCAAGGATCCAACTCTGACTTATTCATGCTGGAGCAGCAGTGAGTCTGTTTACTGGAAGGTGTGAATATTTACTTGTTTTTCTGGGGATCATCTTACTTTTTGTTGCTGAGAGCAGAATGTAGATGGAAGCTGAATATGACTTAGGCATTTTTTAAATTATTTGATATGTGAAATTTGGCAATAAATAACTAAGTTATTTTTACTTTTGGTGGCCTCTGCAAGCACCTTTGTGGTCAACATAAATGTCTAAAAGCCAAGCCTTTTGGGCTGTATTTTTCCTCCTGTGTGTGCAGGACTACTACGTGGTAATTCTTTGCCCCGCTGAGATGGACGTCCAGGTTAGGAGGGTCCTTCATGTTCCTCTTTGGGCTCTGAGAGTCATCTACCTGCAGGGATCTGCCCTCAAAGACCAAGACCTTATGAGGGCCAAGTGAGTAATCATGACTGGCTGTCTTTATTAAAAGCTTAATTACAAGAGTTTTATTTAACTGGGGAGATATGAAAAGCTCCGCAGTGGTCAATGATATTTAATACGCAGCTCAGAATTAATTCTTGAAGTGTCTGGAGGCCAAAAGTAACACCTGTAATTTCCACCTCCTGACTTCAGATACAATGTCTTGCAAAGTATTCATACCACATGGACCTTTTTATTACAGATAATGCAAAAACAACAGCTTTATTTATACTGAGAGTCATTTACACACACTTTGGCTCTATGCACTATTTAGGTAACTTCTTAGGGAATTTGGTAGCATTCTACTTTATTTTGGAGAATCAGAGTGGAGGGGACTGAAAATAGATGCAGGTTACATCTTTCAGATTTTTACTTGGTTATTTCTTCTCTACTTTATAATTCCATGCTTTGCATTTATCTTTCGCTTAAAATCTCAATAACATGCCATCGAAGTTTGTGATTGTGACAAGAATGTGAAAAAGTTCAAGGCATATGAATATGTTTTTGCAAGATACTGACTTGCAAATAAAACAAGTTATGCTAGTGTCACTGAAAAAGCCTCGTTATTCCCCTCGCCTCCCACTTGCTCGTCTTAAAATGGTGGGTGCAATAAAGTTACATTGGTACATTTATTGTTCTGTCATCCCACTTTTTTCCTCTTTTGTCCTCTCTGACAATAACATGACAACACACTTCTTCCTGTGTCTCACGGCCTCCCCCGATTCTCTCTTCCTCTTTCTCTCCCTCCCACTCCGTCTGCCTCTCTCGCTCCTGTGGCTGCTGGCTCTACTAACTACCTGCAGGATGGACGATGCTGAGGCCTGCTTTATCCTCAGTAACCGGTTTGAAGTGGACCGCATTGCTGCTGTACGTGCTTCAACATTTCCCTGTTTGATCCTGACTCTCTTCGGCATTAATCATGGCTAAAGTTTTTTTGCTCTTCCTGCAGGAATATTAAGCATAATTCTATTTTTATTTCACAGTCATTGTGAAATAAAATGCCTTACCATCCATCCAGATCTTTTGAGGGAAATGATCTGGATGATTTTTGGTTGATTATTAGTTTCTGGGTTGTTTGTGCTCCTCTGCTGAATTCAGATCAGATGATTTTGAAATGGGAAAAATGGCTTTCCCGAAGCCCAGACCTCAATCCTCTAGAAACCTGCTAAGTGTCCTTAAAAGCTAAGGCTGTATCAGAAAATCAACCAATTTAAATGAACTCTACCAATTCTTCTTAAAGGAGTGCTGAAATATTCAGTCAAGTCTATGGATGGTGAAGTTAGAACATTTCTGCAAATATGAAAGGCGCACCTGACAGATTCATTTTCAAAAGGTGTAACCAACAAAGTATTTTGATGAAGTATAGTTCAAGACATCACACATTTTGGTCAATGGATATTTAGAGACTTTCTTCCTCTTCAGATTAAAATAAATGCTAGCTGTAATTCTAAAGCCTCATGCCATTTTTACTTTCACACAATTTTTAAAAGTCATCTCATGACTCTCATTTCACAAGTAATTCTTCACCATCTTAACAAATCTGACAACAAGAAGTCCAAATTTCATTGCTCTGAACTTTCAGGACTACGTTGCACCACACCATCAGGCGGGTTAAAAGGAATGCTATAACAGTCTGATGCCTCTTATGATCTCTGTGTACCTTACAGTCTCTCTCTCTCTCTCTCCCTTCCACTTTCTGTGATCAATGCAACTCAACACACTGTTCTTTGATTTTTGGCAGGACCATCAAACCATCCTCCGAGCCTGGGCAGTCAAAGACTTTGCTCCAAACTGTCCCCTGTACGTCCAGATTCTGAAGCCGGAGAACAAGTTCCACGTCAAGTTTGCAGGTGGGCAGAGAGTGTGAAAACGAAGAGGCTGGCATCTTCGTTTTCACACGAAGATGCCAGCCTATTGTTTGAAATAATATTTCTTCCTAATCTTGTTTGGAAGCTTATTTCTTGCAGTTTGTGGTTCTTTTCCGCTTTAACAATGGAAACAGATTGCCCCCAGCTCTACCTGAACCTGTCTACTTGACTTTTTATCCTAAAGCATGTATTTTCCCTCAGAGTGCCCATGCAGCCCTATCTCTCCTCCCAGCTCAGAGGAAGTGTGGGACAGATTGGCACAGCTTGCCTGTAAGCCTTTTGCGAGATTCAAACATTGCTCTTTGGGGAGTCTCCATCTCCATCTTGCACAGTGGCAGACACCAGTCAGTCATGTGTGAGTGAACGACAAGGACCTGCGCTCTCTCACGTCCTTTCTTTCCTCTTGCACATCTCTCCGCTTGCAGCCCTAGACTATCTGAACCCCAATTCGATCCCAGCTGTCTCCGTCGATGATTAATGTTTTACTTTACCACTTTAGCAAAGAAAATCCCCCTCTTTTTGAAAAGTGCTGCAGTTGCGCTAACCTGGCAGACAAGCCCTCTCCACAGGGTAATCCTCCCACAGCACTGTTAAAACACTTCGCAGGCAGGCCGGGGCTCTTGTTATTAGCAGTGCAGGAATTGTTGTGCACAAAGACAGTTTCATGTTCATCCCTTATCACACCTTTTCTTCAAAACGTGATCAACACGGAGCGCCGCGGGAGGAATCTTCTGCTTAAAGTCTGAAAACTCTGCAGCATGTGTGTGAACAGCTTTGATGTTTTTCATTCTCAAATGAATGCACAAATATGTTCCTATTGTATTAATTTACTAAACAAATGACTCGCTCATTGTGCTTTGCCTAGTAACTAGTAGCTGCCCCCTTTTTGATGAAGCAGATCTTCAAAATGTACCAAATTCGTGGTTTCTTAATTCCTTAATTTACATTGCATTATTATGCTTCAATGAGGAAAATTTTTGAGAACAAATTCAGTTTATTTTGTTCTCCAAATTCCAAAATCACAATAGCTTGACTCAGAGAGAGCACAGTCACACGGACATTAGTGTGAGTACAGATGCCAAATTTTGACACCACTTAGAAAACACTCCTGAAGTGATGGTGTGGGAGGCATTAATGAGCAAGAGATACACAATTTAATTTGATCTGCAAACTCAGCCTAATGGGAGTTGGAACATTCATTAGAAAAGATCAGTCGCCGTGATGCAGTAGCAGACCCAGAAACGTCAAGGAACAATATGTATCCTAACCCGGCTCGTCTCTTGATTATTCATCCAATTTCTATTGAGCAAAAATATTCTCTTGCCCCCCAAGCGTGCTCTGCTTAAGTAGCTACACACTGTTATAAGCAGCCCACTTATCCACACAGTAACAAAGTTACTGATTTAATTAGCTAAGCTGGTGGACCTGTGGTCAGGTCCTAATTGCACTGTTTCAGATGGTGCAAACAGTCACATTTACACTTGCAATGAGTCATGCATTCATGCGGGCTTCGGTCTAGACGTTTCCTTCTGGGCTGAAGCAGAAAACGCAAAGAAAAGAGCAAAGGTCTTTAGAGCAAGAATGAAAGGGAAAAGGAAATGTGTGTTTATGTATGTGCGTGTGCGTTAGAACAAAGTCTTTGATTTAGTCCTGAGGTCTTAGTTCAGGAATGTGAAGGATGCACAGCCATGAGAGAAAGAGGAATAACCAGATCATGATCATAGACAAAGAAGGAAGGAAGCCACTGGAGGAAGAATAAAAAGATAGTGGCTTCTATCTCTGCATTCTTGAAATTTGAGGTATTCAGTGGAAATATGTGCATGGCTATAATACCAATGACTGCTCCATAGAAACTACTTCATTTATCTATTTTTGTCTTGTCCCCTGGAGCAGCAGCAGATGCCCATTTCTCTACACAGGCTTTAACTTTAAATTAGGAGACTATAGAACATTTTGTGTGTGTGTTGCATTATGATGTGCTGATCTGAGCCAAAGGAACATTGCTACTTAATCAGAAGAATCACAATCCCTTGTTTTTTTTTAATTGACATGTTTATCACCTAGCCACCTTCAGTCACACGTCTCATTAATTTTAACACAAGCTGCATTTCTATATTATATGAACATCTGCTTCTTAGATTAGAGCAATTCTCCATCTCGGGCTCTGATGCTCTGTCACCAATTATATCCTAATGTGGAGCACATTCTGTGCTTTTACTGCCCAGATCAACTGTATTGCTTAACAGGCAGCCTAATATGCCTGTGCACTGAACTGAAGACAGTGCAATCAAAGAATAAATATCCAGCACAGGAAATGGATTCTCCTTCGGCTCCTTTTCATTGGTTGACTCCACAAACATTAACCGGTCGATCAGATTTTCCTTTGAAAGAGGAGACTGAAAGGAAAGTGTGGTCTGTGTTTGCTCGGGTTGTGTGGTTGACCCACACAGCTCCATTAGGTGTTAGCTGATGAATGTGTCTGAATACTCTGACCCATTGCTCCAGCTTTCCATCTCCCTCCAAACTTTAACAGCGACTTGAGATTCTTCCTCTTAGTTGAACAAGCTGTGAGTGGATTTTTGATTGAGCTGTGAGTTCGATGCGCTCGGTTCTTCATGCTTTGTGGACGTAAACAGCAGGTCAGTGGCAAGTGCAGGAGATGCATGGCGAGTGTTTCGTGACTGATGTGGTGGCAGCATGTTGTTGCCACGGCACTTCAGTGAACCAGAACCTGAATCCAGCAGTTTTCTACTGACATCAGAACGCATCAGCTTGTAAGAGCGAACACCACTTTGTGTGTTCTCTTTAATCTGCCCTTAAACTTTTTCTCAATTTGCTATGTTAATTCATGGCCCGTTTTTACTTCACGTTAAAGTGATTCCACTTGGTCCAGAATATGGAGCAATAAAAATACCTCTTAAAATAGCAATACTGCCCACCACATACAAAGTTACATTATTGTGTTGCCAGTTGAGAATAGTCCACTATAACAATTTAGTTTGTCCAAAATACCCAAGAGTGAATGGATCAAAATTGATTTCAGGTGGAATTCATTGTTTTGGGAGAAATATATCATCTCAATGAGAACTAGCTGATTAAATACTTTCAAAACTTAAGAAATGTGAAGACCCTGTATCTTGAAGGACTGTATAACTATGACTTTATGAAAATTTGGTAATATTCTTCTCTGAATTTGAAACAGTCATTGTGTTTAATGTCAGTGAATTCATAAAAATGTATTTAATTTATTAGATCATATTTTCACTGTGACTTATTTAATAACTCTGGCACTCACGAAGAGCAATTGTTCTTCTTTACTGAAGCCTGTAAAAACCTTAGCTGATGTGTCCTTGTTGTATTTTTCTGTCTGCAGATCATGTGGTGTGTGAAGAGGAATTTAAGTACGCCATGCTGGCTTTAAACTGTGTGTGCCCTGGCACCTCGACTCTTATTACTCTCTTGATTCACTCCTCCAGAGGACAGTGAGTTTACCACCTTTCATTCATTTGATTTTGTCTGAATGTTGATATTCCCTTCACGACCAATAAACTAAACACTAGAGGGATAAACCAACAAAACAGAGCTGTCCTTACATCTCCCCACCCTCCATTTCTCAGAACTACACCCCAAGAGGCCTTCAAGCAACGTGCCGGAGCTTTTCAAGCCCTTAACAGGTAGAATACAATAAAATAAAAAAAGATATTTACTCTGGGTCGCATTCATGTATGATGTGAATCCAAAAGATTTTCTGTCATGTAGCACAGGAAGCAAATATTTAAATATTTAATTAGTAAATTTACCTCAGTTATCTGGAGGGCAAAACTAACAGAAAGTTGACTAATTTAAAATTTTTTACATTTTTTATAGAGAATAGGTAAACATGAGACTGTCAGTTTTCTAATGTCACATCGCGCTAAGAGCATCTGATTCTAAGCGTCTCGGGAAGAACTAAAAAAACTACAAAGAGTCATCAGAAAAGTTTACTGTACGTTTCTTTATACATTAACTATTATGACCATGTGTTTATTGTAGAAACATTTAGACTACCATCTGTTAAACCTGGGTCTAATATGGACACCAAGTTGCATGTTGTTAAAAGCAAATTGTTTACAATGTCCGGTTGCTTTTTACACCGACTTATTGAGTTTCTACAAAAGGTCTTGCTGCCAGTTAAACTTAACATGCTTTATTGTTCAATAAAAAAAAATTTCAATTGTTAAAAAGTTAGTGAAAGATGCCAAACCTCTTCATATACTCTTCAGAAAGTTGGTTTTCATTTTACTTACAATGTTCTGGTTAAAATTTCTGGAAATCCCTAGAACATTGTCATCAAAAGATCAGTATTTTTAGTGTGCACCTTTTGGTCTTTGTGTGTCCTGTTTCACTCAGACAGGGAAACTGGCAACTATTATGGGATTGGTCTAAATTTTTAAGTTTGTCTTAAAATTGAGTTGTTTTATTAAAAATATCAATCTTCTGTGTAAATAACACAGATCTGACTAGCAGTTAGGTTGACTTTAGTGTGAGAATCTCTCTCTGATGCTGAAAACTGACCGCTGTCTGCTGTCAGTAAGATACTGACTCCTAATTCTACAGGACCATTAAGGCTTAAAGCTACATACACATTTTAAGCAGAACTGGAGTTTTATTACATTTGTCAACTTGTAAGTTAATACATCAGGAACGATATATGAAAATGTAAGTTTGATTATTGGTATTATAATGCAATCAAAAATAATAATAATAATAAAAAAATATGATCAAAAAATACACACTTACTGTTTTGTAAGGCAACTTTACCTGAAATAAAGGCATTTTTATTGAAATTCAATTTGTTTCAAACTTATGTAAATGTTTATTTTTCAAAAGCGGGGAACAGAAGTGCAAACCTGTTTGTTAAATACTGCCCAGATCAACTTATATGTTAAATTGCCCTTTAAAGAATGTGTCGAGGTGTTTTCATCTATATCTGGACTTGTTGCCTTTATCGCCTGATGGTGACTAAAACTTGCCATCCTTCTGTCCTGCCCCACAGCCAGATCCTGCAAATTGAACATTTCTTAACACTCTATTTATATGGAGCTTTTTTTTTCTGCAGACAGTCCACAGTCACACTACCTCCACACTGTTGCTTCTTGTTGTCACCTCTTTAGCCCCCGCATGTAAAGCCGCATCCCCTCTGAGAGAGCTGGTGTGCTCTTAACAGTATGAATGACTAAGCCAGAGCTGCGAGACCTTGTCTCCCTCCACGCCCTGATTGCAGTATTGATTAGCAGCTAAGATAGAGATGTAAGATGTCGCCACTATAACCTTGATGGAATATCCTCTCATGTGACCCTGGGTGCCTCAAATAACACATTTTAAAAGGTCACACCTCAACAATTTCCACGTGTGTTTCGGTTCTGTCTCAGGGATGGCGGCACAGGTTCATCAGACCAGTGGCACCGAACGTACAGACGCTGCTCAGCCAACGAGGTGCATCACATTCGTCTGGAGGAAAGTAAATTCTTTGGAGAATACCAAGGAAAGAGTTTCACTTTTGCCTCCTTTCATGCACATAAAAAGTGAGTGAAAGCACCACTACGCGCTACACACTGAAATCTGTCGCTCAGAGCTGATCAGGCCTGCGTGGTTGCAGGTTTGGGGTCTGTTTGATTGCGGTGCGGAGAATGGACACCACAAACATCCTGCTGAATCCCGGACCGTGCCACATCATGGGGGCTTCTGACACATGCTTCTACATCAACATCTCCAAAGAGGAGAACTCTGCATTTGTCAGGGGTCAGAGGGAACCGTCCTGGGGAGGCACGGGAGGGAACTCAAGAGGAGTCCACCAAAGTATCTACCATGGACTCACCCGCCTGCCTGTGCACAGCATCATCGCCAGCATGGGTCAGAAAGAAAGAATGACTGCATGAAATCTATCTCAGTGTTTTCATCATTCAGAAATTTACATCGAAACTGTTTTCAAAACTGTCCTGCATTTTTATGAGCATCTCCATCCATTGTTATTAGAATATCAATGGAAAGGAAATGTATTTCTGGATTTGAAAATTAAAGGGTTAGGTTAAATGTTTTACAGATTTGCACTGTGGTGCCATCAGTAGCACTGCTGCCTTGCATCTAGAGAGTCCTAACGCTGAGTCCTTACTCAAGTAAAAGCAGAACTACTTCAACATTTTTTTACTCAAGTAAAAGTAAAAATGTATTTGGCACAAAGTCTACCCAAGTAACTGATCAAAATGTCAATCATTTAATTTTTAAAATTACATCATCAGATGGACCAAAATATAAAGGTAAGAGAAAATGTTGATATTTTGGTAATTTGGTGACAATAATTTATATAAGTAACAAAAATAATAAAATCAGGTAAGAGTGGCGTAATCAGTTTCTTTCAATAAAAAACTTAAACTTTAACAAAAGCTGCAGGTCTGTGTCTGGTGAATGTTTGGTTAAAACTTTTTTTTTTTTATTCAGTGGGTAGAGAATTCAGAAATTTTACTCAAGTAAGACTAGAAATGCATCACCATAAAATTACTAAAGTAAAAAGTACAGTGTAGTAAAAGTATTCCTTAAAAGTAATTTTTTTTTCTAAAAAATTACTCAAATAATTGTAATTGAGTATCTTCTACATATTTTCCTTCCACTAAACTTTCAATATACTTGAATACAGCCCTCTGAAAAGCAGCAGCCCTTGTGGAGGCTGTCACTGACTGCAGAGTGGCTGTGAAGGCCATAATACTGGCGTGGCAGAATGTTTCTAGTTATAAATCCTTTTTTATTGGGTCTTATCTGTTATGTTCTAGTCAAAATTAAAATCAATATCTCACTCTGTTCCTTCAATCTTGATACAAGTTTCACTTTTTAATTGTATTACTGAAACATATTGACTTTTAATATTACTCTAGAATTTAGAGTAATATTAAAAGTGAATATGTTTCAATATATTTAAAGTCTAAATCATTACACCTGTCTGTGGTCAGGTTCTGTTATTACACAAACCTGCCACCAAGTGGACAAAAATAAAACTCCCACTCAAATTGTCTGCCTTTACACTTCTGAACTGTTTTACATGTTTTAAATGGTCAATATTTACCTTATGGATATGTTTTCAGGCACCGTTGCCATCGACCTGCAGGACTCCAGTGACAGCAGCCCAGAGGGTCAGGACCCCGGAGGCACAAGCATCGGCAGAGGGAGCAGAAGCAGCTCAAGGGTAGAGATCGGGGGTGCAAACACCTTGGCTCTGCCCATCGTGGGAGATTCTGGGGACGAAAGACGGCACAGCATCGCGCCGGTCCTGGAGCTGGTGGACGGAGTCAACAACCCAACCTTTGACCTGCTGGGGGAGCAGTCGGAGGACGAAGGGGGAGAGGAAGGCAAGGATGACGGCGATAAAGATGAAAGCGCCCACTGGTGGGGTCGACACTGCGAGTGAGTAGAGCAAAGCGTATAGGAGGTTTTTTGAATAGATTCAAAGGTAAATGTGAGTTTTTGCCGCAGGTGGGTGAAGGGATACCCGCTGAACTCTCCATATATCGGCAGCTCACCTGCGCTTTGCCATCTTCTTCAAGAAAAAATGCCTTTCTGCTGCCTGCGCATGGATAAGGTTTGCAACCCAAATTGCTTCTTTATCTCTACTCATACCAAGAAGACAACCCCATAATCTCTCACACTTCTCCTCCAGCCTTGTCCCCACATCCCTTTTGAGGATGCACGTTCCTACGGCTTCAAAAACAAATTGATCATTGTTTCTGCGGAGAGCGCAGGAAATGGTCTGTACAACTTCATTGTGCCTCTTCGGGCTTACTACCGAACCAGGAAGGAGCTCAAACCCATCGTGCTGCTGCTGGAGAGCATGTAAGGCCTTTTTCTTTTCCTGGTTTTCCTTACATCCTGTGTACATTTGTAAAACCAGATTCAGACTCTAAACAGGTCACATCCTGGTGCCATAATCGCACCTTTTAATAATGACAGCGCCATTCGAAATCTAGGTTGTGGAGAATGGCAAAATTGGCCCCTCTTAAAAAAGCAAGTGGGGGAGAAAAACTGAGCCACTGACCGTGCCAGTAAACATGATCGGTGACATGCTGAATGCTTTCAGCACACGTCCTGTTTTTGTAGCAGCTACACGAACGCAGTTGGCCAAATGAGAGTGGAATCCAATAAAAAGGCAATAAAATGCTGAGTCACTGCTGTGTAGTGCCGTTATTTTCAGCTTTCTCAGAAGGCCTTTTGTCTCTTCAGTAAATTCAGCGCAGAGGGAGGGCAGACTGTAGCTGTGGGAACGTTTGCTCTTCTCTGTGGCGTGTAGGAATCACTCTGAAATCTGTTTCCCCCATTTGTTTAGACCTGAAGCTGATTTTCTGGAAGCCATCTGTTGGTTCCCAATGGTCTTCTACACAGTGGGCTCCATTGAAAAGTAAGACCAAATTTATATCTTTTTACATTTATATTAATGTATGCATGTTTCCTAGTTTCAGTGCTTTGCAACAGTATTGTATTTTTTACACATATTTTCATATTACATACAGAATCTGGAATGCAATGTATTGAAATCATAACATTAATGGAAGTAGACACATATGAGGCAAATATGTGGAAGAAGTCACTCAGTTAGATGTGACCAAAGTGAAGCCTTTAGGTCAGTGTGCAAACTATTTTTATAGGATAATTCTGCAAATCACCTTGAACACACCAGGGTGAAACATGGTGATGGCTGCATCATCCTGTGGGGACACTGATAACAGCTGAGAAAATAAATGGAGCCAAATACAATCCAAATATGAGAGAAAACTCATTACTGGCTGCAAAAGATTTCAGATAGAGGTCGAAGTTCACCTTCCAGCAACCCTGAGCTGAGGATTAGACCTGCAGTGGAGGGGCTTAGATTTCTGCTCTAGATGCAGCTGAGAATTTGTACCAAGATGTGGAAAATGCAGCTTACGTATACTCTCAATCCAATCTGACTGAGCTTGACATTTTTATTTCTGTTATTTGTGGAAAAATAATAATAAAGTCTCCTATACTGTTCATTCCACTTCACAGTTGTATTGGTGTATCCCATATAATGTTGTCTGTTTCGAACAAAAGATTAAAAAATTTTGGTTTTAGTGACAGACAATAAAAGTTTTTTTAAATTATATATTTCCTCTTGCACTGGAGTGACTTAGGGCGTACTGCAAGGTTGAGTACTTGGGCCCATTTTCTTCCACTTTGTAAAATTACTAGTGTAAATACTGATTATTCTGGAATGAAAAACAAAACTGATTCCCTTTTTACAGCCTGGACAGTCTTCTGCGCTGTGGAATCACTTTTGCGGACACGATGGTGGTGTTTGACAAAGAGAGCTCCATGATTGCAGAGGAGGACTACATGGCTGACGCCAAAACGATTGTTAACGTCCAGACACTGTTCAGGTCAGATACACACAAACGTTCATTTGCAATTTCACACACAAAAGTAATGCGTTCTTTTTCCTATATTATGATTCTTATTGCTCCTGTGCTTTTCAATCCCAGACTGTTTCCAGCTCTTAGTATCATCACGGAGCTCACACATCCTGCAAACATGCGGTTCATGCAGTTCAAAGTCAAAGATCACTATTCCCTTGCTTTGTCCAAACTGGAAAAGGTAAAATCCAAAGCCTTTCATCATGATGAGTCAAAAAATAATCAAAAAGGAAATGAGCATGACAAATGCTTCATTTTCATGAAAGTTTATTGTCTGAGTGGAACAGAAATGAATAAATAGGATGGTAGGATGAGCTTTTGCGCTAATATCTGGCAATTTGTTGTCATTGTTAACATTCTCAATGACAGGCAGTGAGTCTTGCTCGGGGCATTAATAGCATCCATTAACAAAGCAGTAAATTAGCCACAGTCTGACATCCTCTTATTGAATGTTTTTCACATTGGTCCGACGTCATTAGGAAAAGCATTGTCTCTCCCTCTTTCAGCAGTAAAAACATTTTATGTTTATCAGATTTCTTTCGCACACCGCATACAAATCAGCGACAGTTGAATTTGATCTTAAGACTGAATGCCACTCTGCCCATAATAAATCCTCAAAGTATTGTTTCGGCTTCGAGGAAGATCTGACACAGGAAGAGTTTGAAGACTCATCTGATCCGCTCAGAAAGCCCGTAAAATCTGACACCTAGCTGAGCGCCGCTGTGTTTGATCTGCAGAAGGAAAGAGAGAAGGGCTCCAACCTGGTCTTTATGTTCCGCCTGCCATTTGCCGCTGGAAAGGTGTTCAGCGTTAGCATGCTGGACACTCTCCTCTACCAGGTGTCAAACACACTCTCCCTTGAATAACAAGTATCTTTCTTCAGTTGGCTTCTGTCTCATTAATGACTTGTGTCACCTTGATTTGTTTGTTGTGATGCCCTGCCAGTCATTTGTGAAGGACTACATGATCTCCATCACCAGGCTGCTGCTGGGGTTAGACTCCATGCCTGGCTCAGGCTTCCTCTGCGCCGTGAGTAGCTAAAGCACAAACAAACAAGTGGCTGGATTTTAGTTTGGGTGGACAGAGGATCGCCTCAGAGACCGATTGTTGTTTTGTTTGGTTTCCAGATGAAGATCACAGAGGATGACCTGTGGATTCGCACCTACGGGAGGCTCTATCAGAAACTATGTTCCTCCACAGGAGACATTCCTATAGGCATCTACCGGACTGAAGCCCACAAGCTTCCAGTGTCGGAGGTCAGCCTTGTTTTCTTATTTAGGATTTTATTTGGAGCCCCTAAATAAAATATCCCTATAGGAATCTTCATACAGTGATCAAGTTTTACTGTTTGCATGATAGTTTTCTTTGTTAGTTTTACTTCCATTTGGTTTAAACTTTTTAATTAGTGCATTTATATGGGAAGTTTGAGTCCTTCACGCCGAAGGCTGGGATAGGAAAGGTGACCTTCGAGTTCTCGACCAGGTCCTCAATGTGCCGCTACAAATGAACTCCTTTTTTCCGAATAGCCAGGATAGTTTTTGCTCCAAATTTAGATCTGTTCTCCATGCATGCTGCACAGATTGATTGTCATCTGGTATATTATGATTAACGAGTGCAGGGGTAACAGCTCATAGCTACATTACTCAAATGTAGCTGTTATCAAGTCTCATTACTCAAATGAAACTTGTCATTATCCCGGAGCTCCAAGGGTTCATTTCAAACTCCAGTGGAAATTTCAGTGATAAAAATCTACCATGAATGTGTTGTTTCTGTGAGAATATAACGTCTCTCTAGCTCTACAATCAAACCAAATTGCTGCAGAAAAGTGTTATTTTTTTCAAATGTTTTTCAGTCCCAGGTATCCATCACTGTTGAAGACTACGAGGACACAAGAGAACCCAGAGAGCCTCTCCTGTCCCGCACCGGCGCTCACCGTAACTCCACCTCCTCAGAGCCCGTCTCCACCTCCTCCCACTCTTCGGACCACCCGCTGCTCCGGAGGAAGAGCATGCAGTGGGCGAGACGGCTGAGCAGGAAGGGGGGTCGGGGATCGAGTGGAGCCAAAGGTGGTCCGGGCAGCGCGGCGGAGCGGATCAGCCAGCAGAGGCTGAATCTGTTCAGGCGCTCAGAACGACAGGAGCTCAATTCACTGGTCCGAACGAGGATGAAACATTTGGGCCTTTCTCCAACTGGGTTTAGTAAGTTGCACTTTTTTTTTCCTTTTTTTTTTTTTTGCCCGTGCTTTTTTGAACGTCGCACTTCTACGGATGCAGCTCCTCCTGCTCTGTATCCTGTGCTGAGTTTATATCCTGCCTCTCTAACCTCTCTTCCTCTGGTGTCAGATGGGATGACAGACCAAGGCAACAGGCTGTCGTACATCCTCATCAACCCCTCTCCAGACACCAGGCTCGACCTGCACGACATTGTGTGAGTGGAAAAAGAAAAAACAGTTTAGAAGTGATGGCGCTGTAAAGTGAACCCAGCATGAAACCTACAATTAGAACTGAATTCAATTTGCGATTCCTGACTGTGCCCCATCTGCAGATACCTGATAAGACCAGACCCCCTCTCTCTGGTGCCCAATCAAGGAAGCAGCAGGAAGTGCAGTGCTGGACTATCAGAGAGCCACAGGTTTGATACCCAGGACAGCACCCACCTGTGAAGCAGAAAAGACTAAACTCGGAACACTGCCAGGAAGAAAGGGACCAGCATCGATACAGTCATGAAGGAGAAATCCACAGCGAAAAGAAAAGAGAGCTCTGTGTTTTCAGGATCAGAGTTTTCTGTGCTGGGCGCACATGGACCTTTTCTACACTGAATGGAAAATGTTATTTATGCACCTTCTTGTTTTTTGTTTTTTTTTTCAGCTGAGAGCTGCGGACACAGAAGTGCATTTAATGAAAAGCTACATGTATTTATATCTGTTGCTGTGCATGTTAGTACTGCATCATGTACTGTATCCACAGACAGTCTATACAGGCCCAATGGTTTTCACACCCCTTGAACTTTTTCTCAATCTGCCTCATTATGTCCACAAATATCAAAGCAGCTTACTGAGGAAATGCGTTTAGCAGCAGAGTTCAGATCACTTCATTCCGATACCCCAAAATAAATCAACATTTAAAAGTGTGTAATTCAGTCTCTGCATTAATACAGCAGCTGTGTAAAAGTCCCTTAGTTCATTTGGGAATCATCAGAGAATAAACAGCAATGTGACAACCAAGGATCACACCAGAAAGAAGATAAGATAGATTAAATTTTGGATAAGTTTGAAGGAGTTAGACTATTAAACAATACTCTAATTTTTATATCAGCACTGATCAGTCTTTGATCTCATAGTTGTGAGATCAAAGCAAATTGGTATTTGCAAAAAATCTTCCATTCTATGTACATCGTTCCTTTAAATTTACAATTATCACGTAAAATCTCAATAAAATAAGAAATTTGTGGTTGTAATCTGAGAAAGTCGGAAACCGTTTAAGGGTTGTGAATTCCTTTGCAAGGCACTGGGCATACAGTGGCATGCAAAATTTTGGGCACATATACTGTATTTAATGACTTAGTTTCTGCTAATTAAGTGACTCAAAAGTGAGTTTTGAGATCATCTGCTCTATTTTAGGAGCAGATGATGGAAATTTTAAATTGTTAAATTTTTCCTGGCCTTTAAAATTAAGATAAACAATTTCCGTGAAGCAGAAATGTCATTTGGATAGCATGAACTGTGGTACTCGGGTTGTTTTCCTCCCCTCAGCAAATTTCTAATTGAAGTGACCAGAATTGTGTGTGCCATATGTATAGTGTGTATGTGTTTAAGCATGTGAATGGATATGTACATGTAGTCACAAAGCCTGAGCGAGACACTGCCAATTTTATGTGGACTGCCAAAGGAATATGTTGCCAAATGAGCATCAAGGAAATGTTTGTGGTGTTCTTTTTGGCATTTTGTCATCTTTTGTATCTTTTAGCATTTTTTTTTTTATCAAAGCCAACACCCCTCTAATTCATATTTCTGTTTCTATTTCTCACAGAGGCTTTTTGAGACTCTTTTAAACATGCAGTTATTAAACGCTCACCAGCAGCGAAAGGATCCAAAGAGCTCTAGACAAGTTTATGGACACGGTTAGATGTCAAGCTTTACATCGTCAGTATTTCTTTGCAATAAGTCTGACCTGAAGTCATTTTATTTCTAATTTTATTCCCAAAATCTTCCACTTTCAAGCCGTCCTGCCACCAGCTTGTTTTTTTTTTTTATGTGTAATGAACGGACAAAACAGTTTGGACATAATACACTGTAATATAAAACCACTTATGCTGACAGCTCTGCAGTACACACCCCTCTTTGTAAAGCTTTTCATATCGGAGACCATTTCAAAGGATGTTTATCCAGCTTTCAGTTTAGAACGATGAATGAAAATAAAGTTTAAATGTATTATTGCTATATATTTCCACTTATATTAAATAATTTTTTATTTAGATTTTTTTTTAGATGTTAGAGATGGTTTTCAAACAAAAAGCGCTCATATTTCTCTAAAGAAAAAAGAAAAACTATTCACATCCATTAATTCATAGCCTGTCAGACCAAATCAATCTGTTTTATCAAAGTAAATCATTTGGAAAGCTGTTTTGTTATCAAAGGCGTTTGAGGAAAAGTCAAAATGAGACTATTCACACAGAAATGGAGGAACTCACACTGACATTGTCAAAACAACAACTGTAGATTCACTGCAATCATAGCAGAGAAAATATGTACATATTAAACTCACTTCTTACTTGTCCGTGGCTTATTAATGCTTGGTGTCAGATTGTGCAGCTGGGAGGGCAATTCACTCACAGGAAAAGGTTCACATCAACACATCATCTGATCTTTTCCGGATGGAGAGCATGATCTGATTTGGTTTCTCGTGCTGCTAAATGAGGCCAAATTTGGGTCATTCCTGCTTTGAAGCGTCAACAATCGGTGTGCTTCACACCCAGCATCCAGTGTGTTGTCTCCGAGGCATCACGCAGTGCTGCACCTTGTTAGTTAAAGCTTTCATCACAGTTTATGCCCATCGAGGTCAATAGGATTGGCATTTTCTTCGTGTTCAGAACCAAGAGGAACTTTGTTTCTCACAGCTTTGAAAAGCAAATTTTAATAACTTTCTGTCTGTACCTGGAATGTTCACACAATATCCTTTTTGCTTTTATTTGCCATCCTGATTGCCAATTAGTTTGCCTAGAAGTTTGCCTTTGTTTTATGACCAGACCTTATTAGTCATGTCAGAACATTTGTCAGGTCAAAGTAAAGCAAGAATATTTGTTAACCAAATACAAATAATTTGAAGTGGCGTCCAAGAAAAAGAGGTAAAAGAGATGAAGGTTAAACTATAACAAAAGGGTAAAAAAAAGATTAGGATTCACATAAAAAAGAAACAGTTAAATGCAAATTGAAAACAAAAAGTGATGCGATAATAAAAAATAAACTAATATTTAACCTGTAATAATCTACGTCATTTCAAACACAACTCCTTTGCAGTAATTTATATGTTGGTGTGATTATATGTGGTGTGTTTTTTTTTTTTTTTACAGAGAATATTATAATGTTACTGAAAACAAAAACCGTAAAGCTAATTTTGTCGTAGATTTAAATCCATAAGCATGCTCATTTTTAAGTTGACTAAGTCTAGTCGAGTACTGATCTTTAATATTCCTTGTTGGGCCCTAAATCAATGATTTCTGAAATGTATGCATAGGCAGAATTTCTTATTCATCCACTCTTGTGGTCATATGGTGACACAGAAATGTAAAGTTGTGTGCAAGCAGAGTCAAAGATACTGTAAAATATTCTAATAATAGTAGAAATTAAATGAAAGTGGTGTGTGAATGGAGCCTTGAGGAACCCCAGAGGGGATTATTTCTGAAAGGCAAAGACACAGAGAAGAAGAAGGACGCCAACGACCCTCTCCAATAAAATCAGTGAACAGATGAAACTGCAACTCAGGTGAGTCTTACCTTTATTTATTTTCTTACTTGCATTCAAACTCTTTAAATTCTGCTGGAAAATAAAATTACTGACTCGGGTTATTTTTGCCTGGTATTAAAACGTGCTTGATAATCTGAAACATTTGAGAGAGAAAAACCCCCCGCAGAAACAGAAGACATGTGTAGTAGAGGGAAGCACGTTTTCCTGTGTGATGTCCTTCTCTGCCTGCTGCTGATGCTCCCATCTCTGTCGGACAGGTTTGACCTTTGTAGCGTGAATAATTGCACCGCAGGAGGGCTCTCATGTGAGGACAGCCGGACTCAACCGCTGATAAACAATGCAGGCTTTCTAGATAAAAGGACTCACCATGATACCAGTCCTGATGACAAACAGGCAACAATGTCAATGGGGAGGCCATTAAAGGGCAGTGCGGTTCTAAAACACAGAACTTCAATGTGACATTAAAGGTTCTTATTTAATTTTCTTGCCAAGTGGCAGCTAAGAATTCACATATGTTAAATCATCTGTCCCTGCTGTTTTTCCTCTTTTTGTTTCTTATCTGATGTTTAAAGCGACAGCTCTACTCCCCTCCTGGCTCTACCCAGTGACATGGGTGGAGACGAGGTCAGTGGAGAACTTTGTTGTCCTGCGGAGTAAGTTTCTCCAAATAAGGACAAAATCAAACAATGTAGAGGAAGCAGTTCATTCACTGACAGTCATGCAGGAAATGTCAGGAGTTATGATTGTGCGCGAGTTCTTGTAAAAGAAAAGTTGCAAGTATCGTTCAGTCTCCATAGAATGAAAAAACTGCAGAAAAAAAAATTGGAAAAAATGAAGTAAAGAATAAAATTGTTAAATGTGTGTTTTTTACCACCAGGGGGAGAATGATGCTCTCTCTGCTGCGGCTCATTGAGAAACAGAAAGGTGATGAAAGGAGTTAGTATAAGAGTGTCTGGTGTTAATATCAAAAACAATAAAAATAGTACTTCCTTTATATCATGCTCTGTTCACACATGCTCAAAAACATCATCTCATCAATGCTTCCATATCACCAGGTCACGCTGTTCCACACAGCCACCTTGGCGGGGCAGATCTTCAGAGGTTTGGGGTTGCTCCCGTTAATGTTGACTCCGGGGCAGAAGAAGGGATACATCTTTTCAGTGAAAAAGTCAGTGAAGGTGTAGACGGGCTTCATGGTCACAGGGTTGGAGAAGATGACCTCTCCGGCCTCGTAGTCAAGCTGCACCCTGACCCGGGTCAAGTCGCCCTCCAGGTGGAGCGGAGTGCTGGGCCTCGTCATGGCTGAGTACTCGCCCTCAGAGAGAGAGATCATCCAGAAGCCGCCCTCTGGGCAACCTGAAATTTGCCCTTTCCTGTCAATGCTTTCCTTGACCACACCAAGCATCCAGTCCTCCTTACCGCCCACCTCCACCTCCCAGGCGTGGCGGCCTGAAGTGAAGCCCTCTGACCCCAGCACGAACACAAAGTGACCAAAACGCTCAGGATTGTCTGGGAGCTGCTTGAGGGATCCACTGTTGGCCACGCTGGTCAGGTCTGAGGAGAGCGACAGCCAGGAGTAGGCGGTGTTGGGATCCAGAGTGATGGGAGCTAAAATCAGAAGAAAAACAAATCACTAACCAAGAAATATGAGTTACATAAATCTTCCTTTGTGTTATTACACAGAGCAATCACTGTAAATATCACAAATTAAAAAGCAGAATATATATTTGCATTTTGAGCTTAATGTCACAACATCATAAGAATTACAGCCATGTTCATTTGGTGCTTTCAGTATTTTATTTAATATGATCGTTTTCAAGGATTGAATAGTCAGGTGAGTCTTTTATATACATATCAGCAGTAATCAAACATATCATCATGTTTTGATGCTGTAGATAAAATAGTAAAGAAATAAGGCAATCATGATCATAGTGCTAACCAAAATCAAAGGAGAAACCAAAGATTTTATAGCTTAACAAGACAAATATTGAGGTATTTGGTCCTAATTAGGAAGTAAAGATTTCAGAATAAGACTTTCAAATCTAACAGCAATGTACCAACTGTCAATGATTAAATATATCTTCGTTATTAAAAGTCCAAATGTAATGTGATATCCATCCTCATTTAAATATGTAATCTTCAGGCTTCCAGGAACATAATAATCAAAGCTCAGCTCAAAATAACAAAACTGATCTGGTTTAAAAAGTGTCTGCTGCACATAATCCACTCAAAGTGAAAAGATGTACTTACTGTACTTAACCAGTTCCACCATGTTTGCCCAAACGTGGTATTTCAGGGAGCTCACATGCTTGGCCACATTTATAAGGGCACCTGACACTTTTTCCGGACTTTTCTCGGGGAGCTGTGCTCTGTGATGTCACAGTAATCATTCAGTACTAAAAAGAATTAAACTGAAACTTAATATGATAGTGCAGGAAAAAAAAACTTTACCTTTTCTTTGTGGTGATGTAATTCTGAAAGGACACCACAGACAATTGGGATATTTTATGTTCAGCGAGGGGCAAAAGGAGAATTTTTTTTTGCCTGGAGGTAAATCTACTCACCTGAAGGAACTGAGCATCACTGGATGCAATCTCATTCTCAATGGCGATGACGGCGTGCGAGAAAGTGAGGATGTCTCTGGTTATGCTTTCAGACTTCTTCCTCACCAGCTCCTTTTTCTCCTCATCCTCCCTTTGCAGGGTGGCCAGTCTCTCTTTCTCCTCCCGCTCCAGAAACTCCCGAAGTTCCTCAAACTCCTGCCGTATCTGCTTCTCTGTGGCCTGCGTCTGGTTCTGCCATTCATAAAAATAAAAATCATTACTTCAAATATGCTGAATGTTCCTTTGCCTTAATTTAATAATAAAATTTAACTAATATTTGAAGTGGATGTAAGGACTAAAATAACTGCATAGTTTAGTTATTAAAAAATTGATTTTTTTTTCTCCATTTGACAATGGAAAGAAAGGGGAAATTACATGATTACCTTTCTAGTTGAAGGTGTCTGAAGCAGCTCCTTTTCCTCTACAGACACTAAGTGATGGACAGGAGTTTGCCCAACTAGCCTACCTGTTTAGTGGAAGGGACTCCAGGCCCTTTGACCAGTAGAGCAGGAGCATGTTGTCTACTTAATGAACCAAATTAGCCCAATGAGGCGTCCCTGAGTCAGAGACAACATTTCTCAGCCAGGAATGGCTAGTTTAATCAATCTAGTCTGTTGATGAATTGCTTCCTGGAAAGGAAGAGTTTAAGTGCTACTCAATATTTTCAATGGGATTGAAGTAGGAGGCTTTAGCTGGATTAGACATTGCTTTTGTGTTTTTTTTTAAACTCACTAAAGCAATGGACTTAATTAAAATTAAGTAATGCATTTTTGCAAAGCTGAAGAAAACAAAATATATTTTTTTTCCAATAAAAAATCTGAAAAGTCTGCCTAGCATTTGCAGTCACGCCCCTTCACTCGAATGCCTGCAAATTTGCAATTTTAGTTTCTAACTTTGCAAAGGCGGTAAAGACACAACATAAAAAGCCCAATGCTGTAAATGTAGAAGAAGGAAGTTATATTTACATACAATCAGTTGTACTGCATTTCTTTCACACTACTTTTATCAAAGTAAAGTTGAATTCAAAGTGTGAAATACTTTACAAATCTATGAAAAGCATGTGCAATTTTTCATCCACTCCACAGACATCACATTTTTTTGTCTTGAGATACCAAGACAAAAAAATGAAATATCAAATATCAAACATCTTGGTTGTAAAAAAAAATGTAAAAACCAGAAAGAAAATGCAAAAACCAGAGGTGATTTAATGATTTACAGCTGTAAAACATGCTGTAACGCACTGGTAGAAACTGAGACGATGATGAAAATACCTGTAAACTCTCATAACTGTTTAATTATTAGTTTCCAACTCCTGTCTGTGAATCTTTGATAGATTTATTTGAAACAGTTAATTATGGGCCTTCTGGGAACTCCAAAGCATCTAAGACTGTGCTTATTGGTGTTTACACACTAACAGTGCATGACTCAGCTTGCGTTAAAGTTACATCAGCAGCCATGCAGGTTGTCTAATGTTTCGTGGATCTGTTTATTGATACCTTGATGTGCACAGTTGTGTCATCACATTCCTGCTTGGCTTCATACAGGCACCGCAGATTCTTCTTCAAAGGGATCAGCTCCTTCTTCAGTTCTGACTGGGGGAAGAAAAACATCAGAAATCAGAGGCAGTCCAGCCAATATGTTTCCATCTGTAGCATCATTAAAGAATTTAAGGTTTTTAATGCTTCAGAGCATTAAAAAAAGGCATTTAAGCTGTACAATGATAGATTACTAAAGTTGAAGAGTTATTTTCACCTTCAGATCCTGGGCTCCTTCATCTAGAGGACACACTTTGTGTCCCTGGTGCTTCTTGGAAGTGTGGCACACACAGCACAAGACTTCAAAGTCATCCATACAAAAGAGTTTGATAACCTCCCCATGTGTCTCACACTTCTCCTCCAGCACCGCCGCTTTGTCCGCGGCCACGCAGGCCCCCGTCCCCGGCCCGGCCACAGCCGTCCTCCTCTTCTGCTCCCTCAGGAAGGTGTCGGCCACATTCTTCAGGGCCAGGCTGACCGTGGGCTCCGTCAGAGAGCACTTCCTCCTGCAGACGGGACACTCGCGCCGCGCCTTCTTCTTATTCCAGAAATGCTGCAGGCAGACCCTGCAGAAGCTGTGGCTGCACTTGAGCACGACTGGCTCCTTGAAGATCTCGCAGCAGATGGGACAAGACAGCTCGTCCTCAAGCATGGAGCCAGAGCAAGAGGAAACCGCTCGTGGACGAAGGGATGAGGTCACCTTGGTCATCAGAGGCAGGGAAAGTTTTCCTGGCTGGGAGGAAGCTCTGGGTCGCGAAGCCATGACCAGTCGCTCGTATAGCAGCTTTTGTTGTTCGTAGGAAGAGGAAGAGCTCCCAGGTGGGTCCAGAGAGTAATCTGGCCACACTTTAACAGCAACCTCAGTTATAGATCAACAAAGGCTTGCAAAACTGGTTTACTTCACTTCTAGTAAATAAGATAAAGGTCGCCACCCCTCATTTAGCAGCCACAACAATACATTTTTCCAATGAAAAGCGCTTTGAGTAGTCGAGGAAACAAGTTAATGTATTATTCTGTTTGACCCCGTGTGCATAAGAATCATTTGATCCGCTATCCATTTTTTTTTCTTCTTTCAATACTTTCATTTTATTATTGAGAGGCAGAAGCTGGTGTGAAAAGGTAAAAAAAAAAACTCTATTGAACTCTGTGTGAAATTAGAACTCTGCTAAAATGTTTTAAAAAGCAGAGTTCCAGATCCAACACATTTATTGTGCACAAATGTGACAGACTATTCAGACTGTTTATACCAGCGACTTCTGAGCTGAGTTTATGAGGTTTATAAAGTAAACATGCATTAACACCATGAAAAAGACCAAAGAGCACCGAAAGGACATCAGATCTCCACAATCCTGGATTTTGGTCTGTGATCTGTCAATGCTCAGAAAAGAGTAAACATAAAATTTATGGAACACTATCGATCATTGATTATTATTAATAAGGCTGCCCAATTTTAACTTCTCACTAACAGCAATTAACTGGATTATGTCACATCGGATGTTGTTCTTTTAAAATACAGCATATAAAATCTGGGATTATTGAAAATAGTTATGGAGTACCACAAGGGTCTTTTTTGGGAGCTTTGCTTTTCAGATTGATAATTAATGATTTACCAAATGACAAGGAACAAGCTGTTGTGAATGTCAATGATTGGATCCAAAGATCTTATTTGCATCTTAATTTATCTTAAACCAGATATGTATTCCTTAAAAAAATGCAAATACCACTTGTGATTCTAGTATTTTTTTTAATATTAAATAGTATTGCTTAAAACACAAAAAATAACAATTAGAACACCACATATTTAAGGGGTCATCTTGGATTCACTATTTTGTCAAGTGAAGCATATTGCAAAAAGAATTAAATTGAATCTAATTCTCAATTTACCTTTCAAACGCCTCAAGTTATACTTTGATGCCATGATTACATCTCATGTGACAAATTACAAACAAGTTGGTAATTGTTAATATAATAAAAACACAATTGTATCATCTAATTCTATTTGTCAGATACTTTAAAAACTGCTGTTGATAAAGCTACTTTTTCTTATTATAATTTTGATACTTGGAATACAATTCCCAGCAACATTTCTCAATTAACTAAAAAAACAATTTAAAAAAATCACAATATCATGTTCAGCTTGTTACTGGTACACTTGAATTTCCCCACTGTGGGACAATGAAGGATATTTCTGTTCTAGTATGAGCTTTTAGTTCCAGATTAATTTGCTAAAAGAGAAAATAAGCCAAAATTCAGCTTGATATATTTGTAAAACTGGTTACCAACACAAGAAAATGCTTGAAAACAAATGTTTCTCCTCCAAAATCCAATGCCTATTTTGCTGAAAGATTAAGTCTTTATTTCACTCAATTACATGCAAATAATTTTTAACTTTATGCTCCATGGATTTTTTTATTTTTCCTGGACTTCTATTCATTTTCCGAACAATGAGAGGAAACATTTTCCACGTTAGCGCTTTAATTTGCCAGCTTCCTGACAAAGGCCTGTAAGTGACCTCGATGAGCGCGTCTGTAGCTGTCAAGTGAGCCGAGGTCGATCTGATTTCACCAGCCGACAGCCGCTGACAGTGATTTCACCGTCTGAATAAACACCATGCATATTTCAGGAGGACAAAGGAGGGAGAAGAAACACAAACACCCTTCCAGGTGGCTTCTGTGAGCGGCCGTAAAAATTCAGACGCTAAAGTGGGCAAAAGACAAAAACATCACAAAGAAAGACCAAACAGAAAATGCTGCGTGGGTGTTGTTATTGCATTGTATTTGAACATGGACTGTGTAACACAAACCCATCAAAATAATTAGTAGTGTTAATTACATCACCCCTGTAGATTTATCATCAACTCTGAGGAATGAAACAAAACTACAAAATAGCTTCTTCACATTTGGATCATCTGAAAATGTTAGAACAACAAAAGGCTTTCTTTCTTTTTCTTAAATTAGGTGTCGTTGCACGATGGAAGCAGCATCTCATTCAGGGTCAACATCATGCATCTGAGAGTTAGGAAAAAAAAAATACCAACATATCTAAAATAAAAATAAAATAAATGAAATGCAGATTTTGTTTCTTGTACAGCTATTCCAAACCATTACTGTTTCTTTGTTACTACTGTCTTAGTAATAAAGATGCGACAACTTGGTGAAAATGTTCATCTTTTTACACAATTCTTAATCTTTTTTATTTTTTTTAAATATAGACATCACATCACCTCATATAAAAACACTAGCTATAAAAAAATAAGTCGACACAGTCCACAAACCAACCTCCTGCTTGACCTCGAGGAACAGGAAGTAAACACTGATTTCCTTTTAACACTGCACAGTCTCCTGTCTGCTTCACTAACAGTGAGCCGCTTAAGTTTTTAGTGTAAAGCTACGGTTTACCATCACCTCTTTGTAACAAGAGATTTTAGTTCTAACATAAGACCAGATGTTAGGAAGAAATGTAAAATCAGAAATGTAACAGCACATGCTTGTAAAACTGACCCATCACAGTAACATCAAGTGGTTCAGAACAGCGCTGTAGCTCAAGGGAGAAGTCACACAGTGCAATATCTAACCAGGTGAGGCGACGTGCGGCTCATCCTCACCTCTGCTGTTGGTTTGCAATGCAGAAAGACACGTAGTTTTAAACTCAAAGACCTTGTTTCTCCCACATCAGACAACAGAGTCGGCACTCGATCTGCTGCCGGCAACTACAACGTCAACATGCAGGGAGGTTTTCAGTTTGGGGGAGGGGGACGCGATGTGCTCAACGATGTCATTTCTGGAAAAACTCTGGAAGACACATTAAAGCACTTTAGAAAATCACGGCAGTCACCTTCCCCTTCATGTAACTGGACGGTCCACTCTGGCTCCCAAAAGGGTGGAAATGCACAAAAATAGAAGGAGTGTTGTACACTGGAATAAAAATAAACTCATGATGGTGGTGCTGTGTGTTCTGGTAGTGTTAACACCCACACAGGGCGCTCTGCTGTTAGCTCCTGCAGTTACACACGTCCAACCTTCGCGTCACCGATGGCGCCCCAGACGTCAAAAACAAACTCGTCGGGGAAGGCAAAGTCTCCCAGAGTCTCATCCAAAGCCTCAGCAAACTCGTCTGGATTCTTCTTGTCTTTGCCCAGCTCCACCATAGTGGCGGCTGAGGAGAGACAACAGGTCGTTTAATCAGTCAGAAACACAAAATAGGATCTGTGGCTACAGAAAACGATTCTTACCCAGTTCGCTGTCTCTGATGCCCATGTAGCTCTCTAGCAAATCATCCACCTTCTCAATCGCTTTTTCCTCAAATGCCGATGGCTGGCAAAACAAAATTGAATGTGCATGATCAGGTACCAGAGATTTAGTAAACAAGCAACCCAAAACCTCCTGTGGTCAGCTCACCAGCTCCTCCACTGTGGCGGGACCTTTAGAGCGCAGACGAAGGGTCCCTCTGCCCGTCCCGAGCTGGACTCCCGAGCCCGACCTGGAGCCTGACGACCTCTGACCGATCATATCTGTGTCAAAACAATTCATGTACCCCTCCAAATCAGTGAATGCACCATCCCTGAACACTAACAGGAACTCAATAAGATGTTAGTAAGGGAAACAGGTGCAAAGGTAGTTCATTATAGTAGCAAAGAGATGCTGGACAATTAAGAGAGAGGAATGATAAAAACTTTTGAGAAGCTAAAAGAAAGGAAACTGTTTCCTATGGATGACTAGTCATCCATAGAGTGCAGCACTACAAGTGAGATTTTTTATGTCTTTGAGTTTTCAAGATTTGACCATCATGGAGGATGCTGGATTTGGAAATGTTTGCAAGGAATTGGAAATCTCCCTGCTGGGCTAAGAGCAAACAGAGGCTGATTGTTTTTCAGTTAGAAATGCTAACCAAGCTAAGCTGCTAATGTAGCAATCCGAAGAAAGGTTAAAATCACGTTTTTGTTTTGAAATACTTGTGAAATCCTTGAAAATATCAAATTGTTCAACTTTTTAGTGTGGGACAAAATCACCAAATGCCCACTTGTGACAATTAGTTCAGCTTCAGTGTGGTTATTTATTTATTTGGTCTTTTCAAGTTATTTCATGAAGTTATTGCAGCTATTTTATTACTTTGGGATTTGGATGCTTTTTTTTTTGTAACAGGATGTTAAATAATGAAGCAAAGCCACAGAGGAAGCCAGTATCAGATGTAAAGTCTACACAGGATTATCTGCTGCAGTTGATATCTCAAAGTAAATTCAGTAGAGATCAAGAAATATAACAACGAGGCTCCCTAATTTAGATCACCATTCTCTCTGACCTACCAAAAGCTTTGAGGGGCTCCACAAGCTTGATGGTGAACATTTTCCCCTTAGGAAGCTCCTTCAGCATTTTGGCAACTTCGTAGTGACGACAGCCAATGAGGCGATGGCCGTTAATGGACTCGATCATGTCGCCAACGTTAATGACCTGGATTTGGTGGATGATGCTCCCCTCCCGGATCCTCTGCAAAGTACCAAAAGTTTAAACATTTTGGGTAAAAACAACCCAGCTCACAACATTTTGTCAATACTGTATGAATATTTACACAAAACAATCCAGGATCTGGGCCTTCTCTGTAGATTTTCAAACTTTTCCTCACCTTGATGAAAGCATAACCTGCGCCGTTGTCAGTGATTGTCAGTCCTAAAGCATCTTCTCCTTTGAAGATTTCTATTTCCTTCTTCTGACCTTTAATGTGGGCAAAAATGAAGTCCTCCAGCCCAATCTGTCCCCCTAAAAGTTTATCCATGTCCACCTTATGAGTGTTCAGTGTGCAAAACATAACCTGGGGAG